CGCTTCAGCCCCACGGGGCTGCGGGAAACCCGGTGTGGGTGACCCCAGGTGCGGTGGCAGAGCTCATTCATTGCTGTTAGCCGCTGACGGGTGACGCGAGCGCGGCCGTACGCCCGGCTGAGCCAGGCCTCGGGAAAGGTGCCCCAAGGCCGAGGGGTGACGCGGCCTCGTGCGTGACATGCGCTTCAGCCCCACGGGGCTGCGGGAAACCCGGTGTGGGTGACCCCAGGTGCGGTGGCAGAGCTCATTCATTGCTGTTAGCCGCTGACGGGTGACGCGAGCGCGGCCGTACGCCCGGCTGAGCCAGGCCTCGGGAAAGGTGCCCCAAGGCCGAGGGGTGACGCGGCCTCGTGCGTGACATGCGGACCCCCGCGCAGGGGTGGGGCCACGCCAGGTGATCCAGAAATGACGTCAATGGTTTTGTTCCGTTTTCAGTGAATATGCTGGTGATAAACCCGAGAGGCAAAAACTGAGAATGGAGCAGCGGATGTGTGAAAGCGCCTCATTCGTTACAGAAGCAACTGCACCGAGGAGCAGGAAAGAATTTTTTCTTGAGTTTCTCTCTTCCCACACTGAAGTATGAGTTAAACATACAAATACGTTCTGCAGCCAGTTAGCAAAGATTTATGCAAAGTGCTGAACTCCCATTGCAGAGAAAAGGCCCGAGGGCTTGTGCGTGTGAGTTCTAGTAGCCAAGCAGCGAAGCCTAGTGGCTACTGTTTAGGTCAGCAGTGCACCAGCGCCGTGGCGTCTCACTGCTTGCCCTCCTTCCCAAATAGAGAAAACCCGAGCAATTATTCTCATGTTCAATCTCTTGTTCATGGCTGCTGAATCAAGGATCCCGGGCCAGCAGACAAAGGCAGGTGTTGGAGGAAAAGTCTAAAGACTTTTCAGTCAGGAGAAAAATCAGGAAAACCAGATTGTTAGGTAGAAAAAACATCTTTGTCCTCTCTGCTGGAAAAGCTGGACTTTGCTTTCAGTTGTTAAATTCCAAGGAATTCACAGAGGTGAAAACACCATGAATCTACAAGAAAAGCTTCAAGTAGAGAGTGAACTCAAGTTACGAGATTCAAATATTTAAGAAAACTATCTTAATTAATTTAATACACATAGGAGTGTCTTTTCTATTCTTTAATATCCTTTCTTTTCACCTAGAGGTGATTATTGAACCTTTTCCGTCTAGGTGGATGCTCCTCTAAGATTTCTCTTGCAGTGAATACGACTTCCAGATAGCACTTGTACTTTCAGCCCTCATCTCCTCCACATTGTACACATACTTAACATTTATATCCCCAAGCTCTTTGGGCCAGTTTACTCACTGACTAAGCTTTCAAAAGTCTGTCCTTTCAAAATAGGGAATTCCTGTTGCAAACATCCTTGGATTTATGCTCCTGATCAATTCACTCAAAGTGAGTTCGCTTGCGATCAGTTTACTCAAGGTTATTTCCTGCAAGCAGGTCTCTACCAATATTCTTGCTGTTTGTTGTGGTTACTCAATATTCTGAAGAAACCTGTTACTTCCCTTATGAAGAAATACATGTACTCAACCATTTTCAGCAGCAATTGTTTTCCAGCCTACATTGAGGAGGCCAGCGTGTTAACTTCCAAATAATTTGACAGATGCTTTTGTCAATACCCAAATCTGGTTTGGGCAGCAGTAGAGTTGACTCCTGCCAGCCAAGATACATTGGCTTTACCCAATGTTACCTTGTCCTAAAGCAACCCCGTTAAGTCTACATTATGCCCTCTTATTCTTTTACAGTCTGTAACATTAATGTATGTCAGCATGCTGGTTTTAATTAATTTTTTAAATAGCTCATGCTCTTCCTGCTTCTAAATGCTATTCTACCACATTTTAGTTATCCCTCAATTAACCTGTGTCACATCTTAGATCAGCAGCTTAAGTTTCTTCACTTCATCTGGTGGTAACGCTGCAGCAATCTTGGGCCTTCTGGTGGCCCCCAGAAAGGAACAGAAATTATTTTCTCCCATTCTTTGCATAACTTCAGACCTTCTTTTTGTGGCTTTTCTGATTGTTTTCTCTGTCTTCTGAAGCTATGGAAACTGGCTACAGCAAGAGACAGGATGTTAGGGGGGAGGCTGGATTCCCGAGAGTTACTGAGAAACATTGCAGGCATCTGTTTGATATCTAACTCGTGTGCAGGTTTAAACCAACTGCCAGAGTTGGGTCAGGAAGGAATTTCTCTTCTGGTTTGGACTGGCAGAGTTCTGCATTCATAGGAACATCAAAGCATTCTCACTTACTAAACTCTTTCCTGTTACACAGATAACGATCTTTCCTCCTTTGACATACTCTAAGTTGGATCTGAGGCTGGGATGCCATGGTGTGCATGGAGTAAATACTTCCCTGTGAATGAAGTGTCTGGTACACAGGTTCCCTGGGACTGCAGGGGAAGCACTCGATAACTCAGGTGGTCCCTTCCTGTCCTGTGTTTCTCTTCTGACCAGGCTCGTTGAGTTAATACCCAAGTTTTTCTGTCTTGCCAGTTATACTCAATTTATGAAAATTTCCTGATGGGTTTGCTCACTGCCAATGCTTTCTCCCTGCTGCTCATCCTCCAACCCTCTTAACACTTCTTTAGGAATTGCCTTATGCCTATTCCAGGTTCCTGCTCCTGTTACTAAAACAAGCAAGGCAGATTACAAGTAATGTTAATTTAAGGAGTAGACGACTTTGGCAAATAGGCACATTTCCTTTGATTCCTACCCACAGTTCATGCTACGTACATATATTTTTGTTAAGTCCCTCCAACAGGCATTCTGCTGGCAGGCAGACATTCCCCAAATCCATCACGTTGCTGTGCCTTTGACCTCTTCCCCAGCACCAGAAAGACTTCTATCAAATATTACCATGAGCGTCCATTTCTTTCTTCTCCAGTCTCCTTCAATTTAGGTTAATTCAAGTGAAGTTATTTGCACAGGAACAATTTTAGTTAACTCTGTACTTGAAGAAGTCTTTCAAAACTAAATTATTCTGAAAACCAAGTTACACAGATCTAATCCTACAACTGTTTCTCAGTCCTCATTTGACTAAACATGGTCTTCAAGTGTACACGGCAATACTTAAACATTTAGCTTAAAGAAATGTGACTTGGATTGAGAGAAGAAAACTAAGCATATTATTTTTGAAATGTACAATTATATTCCAAGTGTAAAATCTCAGGGTTGTTGGCTACCCTCTTCCTGGCTGGAGGTGAAGACGATAAACTTCAATTGTGATAGATTGGAAGGGGCCATGTTTTGAAAGTGTCAGTATGCTGTTATTTCAGGGATGAGTTTAGTAGGTGAGCCTGCAGCAAGCAAAGAGATAGTACGTGGAGTAAGACTGATGTGTTCCCAAAGTTTCCTGCAATATCTGTAGAGGCAGGGTGCTAGCAAGAACGCTATTGGCACGTCAGGGCATTTCCCAAGGACAGGAAGTGCAGAGGAGGGCAGAGGAGAGGTCGTATCCTCGCTGTATGCTGCCCAGCATACAGACATCTGAGTTCAGCTATTCTCTGCAGCCTGGACCAGCGTAAGGCACTACAGGATAAAAGCTCTATTAAAGTTTGGAAATGTTCTTAATTATACCAAGAATGTAAGGTTTCAGTCTCCCCCTTTACTATACCCCAACTCCAGCATTTTGGCCAGGAAGCACGCTTACGGCATGTTAGCCCCTGGTGACCCTCATATTGTCTCTTGCCTCTCAGTCTTAAGACAATTCTCACCGTAGAGCAGAGATCAGAAGAGCAAATTTTATTGCTAAATTTAAAGAGTAATGGAGAAGATATGAGAATGCAAAGTTACGGCTTTGAAATATTTTTTCCACTGCACTTCTCCATGTGGCTTAATGATCTCTTTTCCCTCTCTCCTCTGACCACTTCCTTCCCTGCAGCAAATGCTGCAGGTCTCTGTGAGACTCTCTTGATCCGCAGCCATTGCTCCAATTCCCCCCACCTACTCTGCTCCCAGCCCATGTTAATACCTTTCACAGTTTGACACCTTCCTGTCAAAGTCTGATAACTTCCTCCTGTTCTCTGACACCTAACGGAAGGGATAAGGCTTTGAGGTGCATAGGTGCCAAGCAAACAAGAGGGAGAGGTCTGTCCCGACCCAACCCTGCCCTCCCGCCATCACTCTGCGTATAAGCAAAAGCACCAAGCTGCCAGCTAACCCAGTACAGACACAGGAATCTGAGCAGGACACTTAACCCAACTTCATTCACTGTACAGTTGAATAAAAGCCCATCAATTCTCAATTAAAATCTTCCAGACCACTAGGCCAGAGAAGGCACGCCAGCTGGTGCAGATCTGACGGCTTTTGTCCAGAATGTAGATTCCAATTTGTTCGTGGGACAGGTGTAAGGGAGTTTCCCAGAGGAATGCTTGTCCTGCTGCACTGCAGCAATAAGAAACTCCTAAAATTTCTGTGGTTTCATTCTCAGCCAGAGTTGCATCACCAATATTTAATTCAGAATGCTGAAATCACTTTTTCCAATGATGCCAATGAAGAGGGAGTTAGGCATGTTCTGGGCACTGCCATACTCTCTCTTCCATATGCTTCTCCCAGCTATAGGTAATCAGAACAAGTCAGAACAAGGATGAATAAAAACAGGCTCTTCCAAGTAGCTTTTTCTTCGAAGATCAAGGCTATGAAGTCAGTCCAATGTCACCCACAGTCCTATGAGCAGAGTCCCAGCAAAAAAGAAAGCAGGAGGATTGGAACCAGAAGAACCCTTATCCTGGCATCAACGGCTTGGCTGGACAGGTTAAAATCGAGGAGCTCCATAATCATCTGGCATCCTCTCAATATTGTATCTGAGAAAGAAAGAGGGGAAACCTATGAAGACAACCTACTTCACATTGCTCCCCTCCCCATGCAGCAACAGGCTTACAGGCAGACTGAACAGCAAGAAGCTTTGTTGCATTTCTCTCTGCAGCTCAGATCTCCAGGAAGAAAAATATTACTTCCGAAAGTGAAAAGCCTTCGTAAGGTTGCTGTTATCCTTTACCTCAAACTCAGAAATCAGGCATCTCAAAAGCTCACCATCTCCAAAGAAGAAAAAAATGGTGGTTTTGTAAGAAGGTTTTTGTTTCTGACTTAGGGTTTAAGAGCAGACCACTGTGGAGAATAAAAATTTGGCCATTCAACTTACGATTCATAGCCACAGTGAATAAGGGGCAAAGATGTTTTGAGAGAAGAATCTTCTGAGCCATGTTCTAATTATAGATCAGTTAAGACTTTACATATTTATAGCAATCAACCTCCTCATTTCTGACATACTGGTCTGTCTGCATATTACTAGACTCACTGTCTCCACTGCGAGCACAACTGCCTCCTTTCCAGTATCTCTCCCATCCCATCTGAAGACTTCAGCGCTTTTCACTCCACGTCCTGACTTCTCTCCTTACCATGCTACTGAACATATCTACCACACTGTGAAACAATTTGGCATAGCTTCTATGCAAGATAAATCTTCTGGGCTGTACATTATGTAGAAGAAATATTAAAACACCGGATATGACAGCGGTGAGTAAAGTCGTCTTAGTCTAGGCTCTGCGAATGCTTTGGAAGGAACAGAAAATGAATTTAAGCAAATGTTTTTACAGTAGATCACTGGTCCTATTGCATATAAAAAAAAAAATAAAGTGAGCCAGTACTCACTGATACTGGGAAAATCTGTTGCATTGAAATTGCTGCAGTAGCACCCTTCTGAGTTGCTTTGTTTTTTATCTAAGAAGCAAATTCAATCTCTTAGCTGAGGGTACACAAAGCTACCAAACAGAATACGGAACAAGAATGGTTCTTTTCCTCAAGAACCTGTAGAGTGCATTGCCTGGTAGTGCTGCTGCTGCTAAGCACAACTGATCTATGAAAACACTGGCCTCACGGAAACTAGTTTTCCAGGTAAAAGCAAATGAACCTGTAGACTGCAATAGAAGTGGGTCTGTGACCAGCCTCTTCCCACCAGCAGGCGTACTTCTACTTTTGTGCAAACACTAGGCCCTTTACTGCAACCTGCACTACAGACAATGCAGGAGAGAAGTACACAGTGAGAGTCCCTGTCGGACAAGGATTCTGCCAGGCAGTGCTCCTCCCTGCCAGAGGTCCCTTACCTGTGCCTGGAGATATACATTATAGGCACTCCAGGGATTTTTCGTATTCTCCGCTTGAGCTCTTTATCCACCGTGGCCACAATGTAACATTTGTGCTGCAAAAAAAGAGGCGAGTCAGATTCAACACCAGTGAACCCACAGAAAAGAGACAAAGCTGAGCAAAAGCTTCTATTCAGTGAGCTCATTTAACACAAGTGGCCTATGAGACCTTAGCGAGGCATGACTAGGGCTTGTACAGAACTCCACAGCAGACTAGCAACATCCTTCCGCTTGTCAAAATAGACTCATAGAAACATCCAAAGTCTGTCCAGCCTTTCCGGCTGGCAGCTGTCCCATCCTCAGTGCTCCTTGATGCTGTCCTATACAACAAGAACGCTCAGGGAAGAGTACACCTTGCTTCAAATAAAGTTGTGCTAGGGACTGAAACTGCCCCTTAGTGAGATTTTACAGTTACTCTGTGGGAAATTTAAGTCATCAGTAACTAGGAGGGCTCAGGAATTTTTAGTACGTTAGCACAGTATAGAAGAGTTCAGAAACAGAAATACCTGAGTGACCCTCTGTACCAAGCAGTCATCTGCGTAGGTCCCTTTGTGCATACATGGCAAGCGTTCAAAGCGAGGGTCCTTGGCAATTCTGTGGGGACATACAAGGCAGCATCACAGCAATCAGACCAGAGCGTACAGTAACACAGTATGGAGGAACAGGAACACCCCTTTCTATGATATGCAGCATGTTATTCTCAGAACAAGGGCTGAAGAGATGGAGCAAATGGTACACAACACTCAGTTGAAATGAGGAGCAAAAGAATGCAATTTGTCTGGCTAATTATTATAGGTTAAGTATTTCTTAGTACTTGTTAGTTGGGTTCAAGATCCCCACAATGTTAGGCTCTTGCCTAACAAAGTCATTTGAAACAAGTTATCTGTGGGCAGAACTAGAACTTCTAGTATCTGATCTTTCGTACCATGCATATAGCAACACTTCACCTCCTCTCTGAAGGGGAACGTCAAAGCTGTTTAGGGGATGCACTTGGAAACTTTACAACATAACGGGACAAAATAAAAAGTAAAGAATAATGCATCTGACTGGTACGTCTGGAGAGCACGAACTACATTGGATTAGTTTTGTACAGATCACACAATAACTTGGCTCTAGATTATCAGTACATGCTACCTACTCCTACAGCAATAACATGAGGTTCCATAAGACTTGGGTCGTTTCTTTATCTTTAGAAGTTTCTATAATTAAAAAAAAAAAAATCTATATATATTTTCAGAAACAAGAGGAAGTGCTATTTTGAAAGTCTTAGGGGGAAACAAAGATTTACAGATCAATATTGTGCACTCATACCTAGCATTTAGTTTTTAAAAATTAATCTAAAACTCGAGCCATTGTACTGATCTCATACAGCCAGAGAAACAAAACCAAGTTTGGGACTCTGCAACAACCTAACAACCCTCTAGTGCAAGGGCGCCGTCATGGAAAGTGCTTTTCCTTTATTTATATTAAAACATTAAGTTCTAGAAACAGAGAACACCCTGCACCTACCTTAATGCCACACGGTACTTCTGTCCTAACTTCTCAATTTCACCCATTACACAATCTGTGATACATGGAATACCTACATGCAAAAAAAGCCCATATTAAAACCAAGCAGTATTTCTTTACAGACCCCTTCAGTACTGCCCACGTGCCCAGGAACAGTTAACTGTCATGGCATTCTGTAACATCTTACTTACAGTTTTAAACTTATGAAAACGGATAAGGTTGCAAAGCAACGAAATGCAGAGCCACTGAGTGCGACCATGCCATGGTAATTTAGATATTTAAGTTATTAGTGCTTTACCTTTGTTGACATTAGCATTTAAGACTGTTGCTTAACTGAAACCAAAGATAGTTCCAGTGTTACCACAGCCATGAACAATGAGCTCGATGATTCTAGCACGTGTCTTTTTTACAAGATTTCCGTTATCCTCAGCTATTGATATGGGGCCGATAAAGCACATCACGAGCACACTGTGGCACTACGTGAGCCAGAAGAAGCTGCGACACTCACACTTGGCGTAGAGACAGTCCATCATTGACTGCACTAGGTCCAGCTTGGCCTTGATGGAGAAGTTGATGAAGTTAGTGTCAACCAGGATGTGATAAGGGGGGCCCAGCTGCGTATTATACTGGAAGAACAAGCAAGAGGGATGCTGGGGGCTGTTGGGAAGACAAAGAATTCCAATCAGTTACTTGCAATTAACAACATATCCAATCCTACAACTTGCACAGAATGGAGGACAGGCAATGAGCAGAAACAACACAGGGCAGCGTGGGAGGCTGGCCTGTCCGGCCTCCCGCCGCCTCCCAGGCCCCCTCGGTTTGGGGCACCATGTCCTGCTCCGACAGCTTTGCCCAGAAATGCCCTTGGTTGCGGCCTGCAGCGCGCCCGGCCTGCCCTCCTCCCCAAAGCGTCGGCAGCACTTACACCTCCCGCTCCTTGATGGCACTCGGGTCCTCCTTCTTCTTCACGCGGGCTTTCGCCCGCTCCTTCTCGTTACTGCAAGGAAACACAGGCACTCCTGGCGGGGGGGCGACAGGGAAGGGCGGCCAGCGGCGGAGCGGCCTGGGCCGGGATCCCTCCCGAGCGGGACAGGGGACCGGCCGGCCC